TGAGTGCAAAAAGTACAAACAACGCGAACAAACCTATAATCTAATGAATGGGCTGAAATGAGCTCTACTGAATTTTCAAATATTCGAATTTTAACGCGATTTTTAATTCAATTCTTATGCTAAAATAATTATTTCACTGATAATTTTGATGATCCTAGAAGGTAATGTATTCTCGAAAGCTGCGTACATTTCTGTTCTTGCTATCTCCAGAATCTTCAGGTACATTTAAAAGAACGATATTTGATAAAAAATATTTAATAAAAATGAAGCAAAAAGTAGGATAATAGGAGTCTCTTTTTTAAACTAGAACTTTTTTTTTTCGTTTTTATCAAATATTAAACATATATCTTTTTCATTTTAAATTCTGAAAGTATATATTAATTCTATTATAGAAAACAGACTTTCGTTGTTTTTACCGATTAACTTTAATAGAAATTAATTCTTAGACCTAGAAAAAGATAAAGAATGAGTTGAATTAAGACTATAAATTTAAAAGGTTGTGTTTCCAAATTCATTGCCAGCGCTAAAAATCTGTAGTTTACGTTTCATGTAGTATAGATTTTCAATACTAGCCAGATTTTGGAATAGCCCATTATCTACATTAGAAACAGGTATAAGACAATTCGAGCTTATTACGTTCGTCTAATGTTGACATTATTATAGAGAGAATGAAAGAAGATAATTGAGGAATGAAAAACGATACATTAATTGCTATTGCGAAATCATTTTAATTCTTTCCCTTTCACGCTATAAATATTAGATTCGAATGTTCTCGTTCCAATATATCTCTTTTTTTTCTTCACTAAATTCATCGCGTCAGGTTTAAAACATGTGTATTGTACATTCATGAACTTCGTAATCATCAACATCACTTTACATAGAACAGCAATGCATCCGAACAATTCTGTCTTTACAATCTCCCATTAATTCTATCTCGTAGATACATTTACACCTTAATTTCGACACAATCGCCCATATCAAATTATGCATTGAATAGAGATTGAGAATTACAAATTCAAAATTAAAATTCCAATCAGATAATTTTCAATTTAGGCTGTTCCAAAATTTACTGCCAGTGCTGAAAATGTATAGTAACGTAAACTGTAAATTTTTGGAAAGCCTTAATTCGTTTCATTTCGTTTTGGTTGAATTTTAATTTCCAATTCGTAATCTTCATAGTCTAATATGGACTTTACAATTATAACGTGACATAAGCGATCGATAATAGATCTGGAATCGATAGATCTACAGTGTATCCTGTATACGATCGTTTTATTACACACGGTTATAATTTACACTTCCCCTTCACTGATACAGGCAACTTTCGAGTATGCAAACATAATACGAAACATATTACGAAAACATAATATATACATTAATGATACTGCACGATTAGGTAAAAAAAAGATTACACTAAACTAAAAATCAATTGCAACGATTGAATTTCACTTACAAAACATTCGAAAATAAAACACCATACATTAATCGCTCTGTCATTTTAGCGCTGAGATTTAACGAAATTGAACTCTGCTCGGAAACGTTTTTTTTTCCATCGTAACGCATGTAATTGTAACATTCGTTTGGTGCAAAACAACGAGGAAGATTGAGCAAACAATTTTATAAAGCGTTAAGCTTTTTATAAGTCTAAATCGATTCTAAAAGTAACCCTACATATAATCTAAAAGTAACCCTACATATAATCTTCCGAAAAAGATTATATTACTTTATGATACAATGTATACTTTACATATAATTTGCACATAGTTTTCTTCCTCGTCGAATCTAATAATATCAAAAAATAAGCATATATGTATATTATGCGCAAGTTAGAACTGTAAATATGATCGATAGAACTGATAAATATGATATTAATCCGAATATTCGTGAGTATACAAATTAATTAATTCGTATATTTAAATTATTAATTCATATGAATTAATAATTCAAATTTATTAATTCATAAACTATTCGACTGTTCCAATTTGCGAATTTCGAATCCAAATTATTTGTACAAACGTAGAATATTTTATTTATTATTCGTAGAATATTTAATGCGGGTATATCATAATATATTTACAGTCCTAGCACAAATAAATATATATATATATTTTGTGTATATTTTAATCGTATTGACATATCGTATGTTTTCTTTTAGATTTCGATCAAAAGTTTGGCATGAATTGAAAAGGACAGATTAGAGATCACGAATTGGAATGCTGAGACGGTGTGAGGCTGCCGGTGTGCTCAGGACTGTGTTTCTGCTTTTTTCTCTTTTTCTCCTTCTTTCGCTTCTTCCTAGCTTCCTTTTCCTCATCATGTCTTTTCTGTTTCTTATGTTTCTTTTCGTGCGTATCGGAACCACCTACGTCCGTTGTAGCTGTCTCCTGTCCACTGAGCACTTCTCCAGGCTTGTGCTTGTGTTTCTTATGCTTATTTTTGTGTTTTCTCTGAGGGGCTTGATTTATATATCTATATTGTTCCGGCAGCTGTAAAATTATATTACGTATCTTAACATTTTGCACACATATTATTTATTTTAGAAAAATATATATATATTATTTATAATTCAAATTAGACCAAAAAGAATAAACTAATTAAGAAAAATAATTCTATTTTTGTGAATCTTAGTGCTTAAACATTTCATGAATTTATATGCATATTCAATTCTGCATATATATATTAATAGTTATTTATGTATATATATTTTAATGTATAAAAATACTTACTGGACCAGGATGCAATCGAAAACCGGCAAGCTGTACACTCGTTAAAGGTAGTAGTTCTTTACCACCTATGGGAGGTTTCTCAATTACCGATCTTAAAGAGCTTAAAAAGATAAAAAGAACAAAATGTGAAATAAACACGTATGATATTTAAATATTCTTGTATGAAAAAAAATTTTAATTAAATTAATTTTAAAATCATGCAGGCAAAATTTATGCATAATAGAATGAAACATGCAAGACACTGTCCACTATTATCGTAATATAATTGATTTTAATTATATTAGGTTAATGTTTGTTTTTGTATTTTAAATTAATATATTCTTGTCTATTAATATAATTTTTAAATTACCTGAAAAAGCTCGAAATGAGCCACTAGTTAAATTACATTGCATTGCAATGTATCATATGAGCCTATTTACTTTAATTTTAAATTAAATTACCTATTATCTTGATGCCCAGGTCTGTCTATAATACCAGGCAAATTTGGTAAAAAAGATGATAGCTGTTCCTTAAGCTTTTTACCACTAAACTTGCTATATGAGTGTTCCAGGCCATAATAGGCCATCAAATTTGTTGCTCCAGTCAGTTCGCTTTCCCCTAAAAAGTAATATATATAATTTTAAGTTTTACTAATTACTTTTTTAAGATTATATCTCATTCATAAAAAGACTTGAATCAATTTGTACATGCTGTACATATTGATCTTTATCTATATTCGTGACTTTCTCGTTACCTGGGGGTTCTTTCATCAGATAAAATGGTCCACTGTGAACTATGGAAGGGTTTTTCCCAAGGGAGATGGTTGTCTTTAGTGTTCCTGTAGAATCTTGACGAGATACTACTGGAGACCGTGCTCCTCTTGGCGAGGACTTCGGTGAATATTGTTCCACTTTACTTCGAAACTGATCGCCCATCATCATCCTTGCTGCTTTAGTTTATCACACCTTCACCAAAAGTAATAAAGAACCACTTTCTCCGGATACAAAGGAACAGTGAGATAATTTATAATTTGACTATTTATAACCGGCGAATCTTGAATGTTCGTTGAACGAATTGAATCATTAGCTCGACACCTGATTCGATTAGAAACTAAGCAAACCGTATTACTTCATTCTGCAGTTTCTGCATCGCGACGCGAACGTATCAGACATCGATCAGGTTCATTCGTAAGAAAACGATTGCTCAAATCGCAATGCGAAAGGTATATCAACAGTTCAGACTTCCCCTTTCATGACTCCCACACCGGTCTCTACGACATCTCGCTAAAGAGATGACGACCAGGTATCGGGGCACTGACGATCCACTGCTAACATGCTTCCCTCCGTCACTCTCGCTAGCCGATAATGCTCTTTTATGGAGAACAAGTAATCAAGTTCGCTTGACGCAACAGACTCTTCTGTTTTCCCAGCCGTTACGCGCGTAGTGCCGCGTACTCCACTCGTTCCTCCTACACTTTTACTCTCTACCTGCCCTCGCCATCATATGTATTTCGTGCGGATGCGCATGAAAGCTCGCTGACGAATGACTGTCATGCATGGAGACTATGGAGACAAATACTGAAATGCAAGAACGCGTTTAAGCAGTATTTTGTGGCTGCGTTCAGCAGAGAAAGCAGCTTTGCAACTGTTGTAAAATTCTTTAATATGATTGGTCTTGCCCATAGTTCTTCATTGAATCTAAATGTATAATTATATTCAAGAATTTTACAAGAGTTGCAAAAGTTGTTTTTTCTGCTAAACGCAGCCATTGGCTTATGATATCTTAGAATTAAGTGGAGAACTTTTGCATAACATGAGGAATAAGAAAATGAACCAATCAAAGTCTTTTATTTCCTTCCTTTCCATAAAATAAAGGACTCTAATTGGTTGATTTTCTTAACATAAGCCTTATGTTTTATGCGTTATTAAAAATCTGTGCTCTCCGCTTTATATCCTAATAAGATGATCTTGAATCTAAAAACCACAATATAAGAATAATGTATATCGCTTATTTGCTACAACACAACAATTAAAGCAACAAAACTTTCTAGAAAATGAATTTGAATGTTTTAAATCATTGAAATTGTACAATATTCATTTTGAAATGCAATTTTAATTTAATAATTGATTGAAAGGGAATAAAAGTATGTTATTTCTTTTTTTTTATTCCCGTTATACAAATACATATATATATTAAAAATATATACAATAAATTTTACATCCTGATAAGAATTTATGAACTATCAGTCTAAAGAAGAAATGTTGGCAGAAAGCGACAGTATAGTATCCAATCAAATTTTCGCTTTTACAGAAAAGCAGTTCGTACACAATTAACACATCGAAATACGTAGTGATTTGAGGTTAAAATCAGATGTTCAAGTCGAATTTTCATCCTCAGAAAAATCTATGAAAATATAATATTGAAAGGCAAGACTGAAACATTGTGAAGTATAAATCGCGAATTATTATTTAAAGACTTACAGAATATTATCACGAAAGATTGCTGTTGCGCGATTAATCAAGCTCATTAGTTAAATAATTAAATTATTTTAATTTCAGCAATATATTTAAAGAATGATGAATTAAATTGGTACAATATACAACAAAATTGATTAAATACACATATCATGTATATGTTTACATGTATCGCCGAAATTAAAATAATTTAATAGAAAGTTACTAATTGGTACCTGTATCAAGTGCACGATGTAAACTAGGCAATTATTTATTGATGAGTTAAAATATAGAGTATAATTAAGTAATAAATAAGTTTATTCATATTATATGTTTATTGATTGCGATTTGTTACGGCAGATGAATCCTGTGTTACGCACGATCCAAGCTTGCGTCCGCTCTATGAGACACACTAAGTACAGTACTCTACCCTCAGAAGCGGTAATATTTATGGAGGACGATCGCATGGTTGTCTGCTGGCATCCAGAGAAGACATTTCCCTACGAGTGTTCCTTACCTCTGCCTGAAGAAAAGCCCGACTTTTCTGTACTGCGTATCGGAAACAAAGAAGTTACTGAGATGTTTAGGAAAAAGAAGGAGTATCAAGTTGTAGAAGAATTAACGAAAGTCACATATACTACCAAGCACAAATGGTATCCTAGGTCCAGAGACAAGAAAGCAAAAGACACGGAACCTGATAGGCCATATTTGTAACATTTGACAAGAATCCAAAACGTTTCTTGGTGAAAAAGTATTGTATTTAATTCACTTTACATATGTAGTTATATTCTGCAAAACTTATATTAATAAATGTACAAAAATAATTGTTATGTCTGTATGAATAATTGCTTACATATATACTCAATGTTTTTTTTTTAGAATTTAAATACAATATCACTTAATACGATTCTACATTTTTTTATAAATTAAATAAATACACGTTTTTATCAGGCAATTACGTTACACTATTAGTTATACATTATTTTAATGTTTTACTTTTAGCTTAATTTTCTCTCTTAATTCGAAGCACTAATTTTGCACTGAATATATACTGTATTTGTACACATTTCTATATATTATTTACTTTATCAAATTGCACATAATTACATATTTTGCAAACTTTTAATTAATAAAAATACTATGTCGTCACATTTCTATCTGTGCATTAAAAAATTAATATACAATACACTTGTATCTATATAGATAAAGTCTAGCGCGATATTAAAATTTATTTGTTATATTACATCTATCTTACTTTGCTTGTACTATAAATGGCAAGGGAAAATCTGACTCTCTCCCTCGTGCATAAAAATTTGTAAAGCTTTGTATAATAAATATCTACCAAATTTCTGTTTTTGTTGCATGCTCCACGTTGCTGCGATACCATAGTATTTCCCACCTATAGAGTTTTTCAAATATTCTTTTCCTATCGCATCTATCATGGCAGCTTCTCTTGTGTAAGCCTCTACTGGAATAATATTTTGAAAAATATGCAAACAGATCACACCGCAATCGCTGTCCCATATATTGAGAATGCAATTGATTTTTCTATTTGTACTGTTATCACCACCCACCCACGTCTTGAAAGCATCATAGAGATGAGCAAGAGGTCTGGAACGTTTGCCTTTTCCAATATAAAATACAGCATTAAGAAAAATCGACCAAATTTCTGATTCTGTAAGATGAACACTGCGATTTGGCAGATCCTGCGTTATACGCGGGTCTAGCAGCAGATATGTGAAAGATGTTTTTGATGTGCCTTCACGCCATCTCCGAGATGGATCTGGTGATAAAAATTCTTGAAATACTTGCTTCTCCATACTTCTGTAAGTATCCAGATGATTTAACCAATCTCCAAGCTCCAAATAAGGTTTGATTTTGTTCAGCTTTGAAATTTGATTTCTTGGAGAATTCTGCCGATTTGGTATAAACGAAATAGAATTAGCATCCCTGATGTTTCTTAAACGTAAAAGACGTTTTTGATAGAGCTGTCTAGTTGTATTAGTGATTGGACCAGGTTGATCGCCAAGCTGCCTAAGTTCTTGTCTAAGAGCAACATCATCGATAAACAGTATCTCTTCTGGTAAATTTTGAGAAGTGGATGTACTTGAAATACCTGTGATAAGCAAATTATTTTTTAATTCTATCAATATGATAATCCTATATTTAACAATGACATTGAAATTATTTGTAGCTTACCAGACATTTTGCTTCTAACATATTCACTATCAGAACTGAAAAATTGATAAATTTCTTGACTTTTTCTTTGTAGAGATTCAATGATTCAATGATTCAACTTAACAGATTACAGATTGTGAAATAAAAGTAAAAATTATAATTCACTTATAAACCTATAAACTATACCCTATTAACTCACCTAAATGGAATAACACAAAGTCGCCGTTCTAATAAAATTACACCTTCTTCTGGATCTTCATATTTATACTCTTGGGCACTGACATATGAAAGCAGAGACCTAAAATTCGTAACAATCAAGTAATTATTTTTTCATTGATGTCATTTTGAAAGTATACTGAAAGTATACTGCTATACTCACGAATCATTACACACGTCTAATTCTTTTGCTTTTAATAAACCTTCTGTTCCCTTAAAATCGATACTTCTTGAGGAATATGATTTTTGAGAGCCGAGTATATAAATTTTTTTCTTACATTGTATAGGTAAATTTGTAGCAGGCAGTGAATTATTTTCTATAGGCGATTTATATAACGGAGATAAGTGAAACCTATCATTATACCAATTTTTTGTATGTAAATTACAAGTCTTGCTTATATTCATATTTAAATCTTCATTTAATAATTTCTTAGTATCACAATCAACGCAATCTACGAAATTTTCCTTATGCAATGAATCAGATTCAGTTGTACATGTAGATTTTATATTAGTGTCTATTGTTTTTTCCAGTGCTTTATCAATAATAAATTTTTTTCTGATTGTTATAAATTCGATGTTTATTTCATTATTTCTAGGTTTGGCATATTTTTTATTATTGCTAAAATTGCTAACAGATTCGTTCTCTTTCTCAATTTGATTAAAACTATTTGCATCTAAAAGATTTGCATCACTGTTATTATCGGTTACATCAGTCTCGTCGTATCTTTCTTCATCCAATTTTACTGCCAAATTATTTTTATGTTGATCTTGTTGTTCTATTTTTATAGATTTATTAAAATTTAATAATGAATGTTCACTACTCGTATCTAGAATATCGTAGCGAGTTGTATCAGAAAATATTGTTTTATTTAAATCAATTGGCTTTAATATATTATTAGAAATAAATTCATCAGAAGTGACATCGCTTTCATATCGATAAGATTTAAATCTTTTTCGGCCGGAATGAAACTTGTATATCGATCGTTTCTTAATTCTTCTTGGTGTTGATTGAGCTACATGTTTTTTATACCAATTACATTCAGGATATTGCATCTCAATTTTGTACCTCTTGAATACATTCAGGGAATCTTCATGTGACGTCTTTGTTAAATTTTTCTTTCCCATACAAACCGGTGTAAAATTAGGCGACTTGCTAACAATAGAATCATTGCAAATATGCGATAATGTTAATGGAAATCTACAAGCATTTCTTCTCTTTCTGTGACTAGGTGTATTAAAATTCGGTGACATACTGATGATGGAATTATCCAATATACGAGTTGGTGTTAAAGAAATTTTGTTGGAGATATCTTTGCATTTGTTCTTGGAAGTGCTTTGTCTGCTATACTTTGAATATTGTTTTCTCATATTTGAAGTTATAGGTTTTAAAATATCTTTATTATTCTTTATTTTATATGGAGAATTCTTTGATTTTTTATGATATTTATAACGTGCACCTACATCTTTCATTAAATACAGTCTGTCATTAAATGACGTGTTAGAATTGCTTGTTGTAATAGTGCTTTCCTCTTGTTTGTTTATTTTATTGTGCAAAGTCTCGTTAATAGTGCAACTACTTGTTAATGATGACGAGAGATGATTAATAATTTGACTGACAAGGCACTTTTCTTTCTGCACATTAAAAAGATATAGATTTGTCAAGTCAAAATCGAGATCGACAAACGAGCAATTCGGCATTTCTTTCTTACCAGTTCGCAAAACGTTATTCTGTATTTTAGTAGTTGGTGCATAATTAATATTAGAGGAGCATTCATCTGAATTATTTGATAATTTGTACTTAGTTTCAATAGCAGCACATATATCTAGCGTACGGTTTGAAACTACGATCATCGAGGAAGAGTTTTGCTTATTGGAAGAATTGGTAAGCTCACTCTTCTGTGCCATATCATCTTCATCTAATACCGTATCTTTCGACGCAACATATTCGGCGATTACATCTCCATTAGTAACTAAAACTTTGTCTGCAATATTAAGAGCAATATTAAAAGCAAAGATAATAAATAGTAATTCGAAATTATCTATGAATCAAGTAAGTGTAAAGATTACTTACCCAACATCATATTATACTTTGGTTCATCCTCGTCTTGAGTACTCTCACAATAATTTGCAAGCATCGTTACAACATTAAAATATTTTCCGTCGAAGGCATAATGAAATGGACTTCGTCCATCGTTGTCCAGACGTAACGGATCACCACCATTTGCCAGAAGTAACTGCAATATGTTTATTCTACCCCAAGCTGCTGCTACATGAACCGGAGTCATTCCATCATTTGAGCTAAGAATATATTGCACTTGTTTCACTTGCATTTGCATAAATACAAAAGATCATTATAATTATAATTTAGATTATACCTCACATTGGGATTGCCACCGTGACGTAGAAATAGTTTAGTCACTTCTTCTGCGAATTCTTCCGAATCATTGCCGATAACTAAATGAAACGGTGTAACTCCATGTATTGGAATCAAGACATTAGGATCTGCATCTTTATTTAACAAAAGGGTTGCAACTTGCCTAAGAAAAGATTTTTAAGTTAAATTAATCGTCTCCAATCAATTTTTATTTCCATCTGCAGTCTGGATCTTTTTTTTTATTATCCTAAGCTTTCAAAGAATGTGGGAAAAGTCATTCAATTACTTTTCAACTTCTCATTACGTGATCAAACAATTTCTTAACTCAAATGTTAAAATCTTTATTTAATAAAAATTGAAATTTGAGTAGAAATGTAGAAATTTGAGAATAAAATTTCGTTTATATCAAACAAAAAATTCAGATTACAAACGAAGAGTTGATAATCTTTTAATATTTTCTTAAGAAATCGAAAGTAGCAAGTATAATTATGGAAATTTATATATCTAATAATTACTTTGTACCTTATATTATTGTCCTCAAGTCCATCGCAGAGGGATGAAGCCAAAAATAGGCCACCTTTTGTTTTTGGAGTCGACAACATTATCTGTTTAAAGTGTCCAGTTATAATATAATAATATCCGTCAAGAGAGAAACTTTTCACATAACAGTACGTATTTAAGTGCGACAGTCGTTTGCTTTTCTTATATTATTCCATTGTTACACACAATAAAGTACGACATAGCAAAGTAGAGTAACAATACCGGTGATTACGAATAAAATTCGTTCGCTACTTTCGAGAATCGCTCCAAACAAATCGAGATTCAAACTTTCATGTAACAAAAACATATACGGCGAATTTGGAGAAGATTATAAATACAGGACGTTGCAAGTTTATTACGCATCTTTTAACTGAGTCGTAGTTGTAGGTCAACGTACAATGTTTTGACATCGACGAAATGCTATTAAAGACCACCAACCTTAGATAAATTTTCATCCTCTCAAAAAAAGGCTCCGAGAAACCGGAGGTAATTGAAGAACACTGACATTATCGACAATT